TTCTTAATAATATAAATAAACTAGTATTTACATAAATATTAAGTTACATAACTTGATTTTGATTAGTCACCATGTACTAGTAGACCGACAACATACTAATGTATCGTATCTTCGTATCTACATAAGTATATGTGTGCTTAGTTTTATTTAAGATACGTGTTTAGAAATAAGGGTGGAGGTGTAATGTATGGGTAGATTCACATATTAAAATTATTGTTCTAGTGGGAGGTAGTCCTAAGTTTAGTTTTATAACTGTGCCGTGTACCTACTTTTGTATGGTCGTTCATTCTCGAATACAAGCCGCAATAGTAAGACGTGTGTTTCATTGCTCTCCATTAGGCTCATCCAGTGCATAGTTAGGTTACCTATATTACCTACATACTCTTCANTAATAGTAGGTTTATTCAATTCTGGTTGTGAAGGGCGGGGTGCATTTAATACAGGTTCTCTATTTGAAAATAATCTTCTCCTGGCCATTCCGTCGGTTTGAGCCAACGTACTAAGGTAAGAAAGAAGTTGGTCAGGTTCTTCAAACCGGCATGCGTTAACACTCATGCGTACGAACTTGTCATCAATTCCATGGACAAGACAGCCTACCGCCTTTCGTCCCGATATTTCACATTTATTGATCAGAGTCATCTTTTCATAATAATAAACATCAAGGGGTTGACCTATCTTACAGCGTAGCTGCAACATTTTCGAAAGTAAATCTCCATAATTTTCATTAGATGGGAAAGCTGACCTAATTTTTATCATCCATTCATCCCATGTAAACAGTAATGATGGTAATCCTTGATACCAACGCTTTGCAAGTCCGGCAAGTTTTGGTAATGCATAGTGGCAGGTCTGGTTCTCATTCCACCCATAGATCTTGGCACATTCATTAACTTTATGTAACCAAGTCTCTACGTTCTGACTACTATCACTGGGGTCAAACTCAGGCACCACATTCAAATTAGCCGTGAAGCCATGAGTCCACACATTATTCATCAATTGAGAAAATGTTTTGTCATAGTTTTGTTCATGTTGTTTACCATCAAGGGGTAGCTCAGATAGTACATTACTAGGATTCATTGACATTGGCTTTGTAAAATGTTCGTTAGGTAGTGGCGGTGTTTCTGAACACCGACTTCGAGGTTGACTCGCAGAGGTTCTATATCTTTNAAGAGTGAGGTTTTATGAGTTTGTGTGTGTAAGTAGATTTTCAGATAGAGAATCACTACGCGTAGGTATTTGAAAAAAGTTTTCACCCTAAAATATTTAACCAGGACGAAGCCGCCGCAGACTGCTAATTACTTAAATTAACAACGCTATCTATGTTCACTATTTTGTCAGCCTCTTTTTCAAATACCCTTGAAAAAGAGGCTGAAAATAGTGACTGAGTTTCTTGCGCTGCTTCTTCTCAGCACTGGCCCATTTATTGTCCCGAAGCAGTGGTAAAAGGTATTACTGTGACGTGTAAAAGTGCTTTTTAAAAGCGTACTTGCAAAAACTAAAATGAGTTTTATGGCTAGTTAGCGATCTTACTACAAAACTCCCTCACTTCTCTAACAAATCGGATGAGTATTTACCTGAAGGCTTAAACGATTTCTCTTGACGGCCATTCTCACGATCAGGCGTTCTCAGCCTAATTACCATATCATTTTTGAAATTTGGCATAATTGACTTAAATGCATTTAAATATAAAACACATGAAAAGTACGAATTTAACAATCGTAAAGGCGTCAAATTATTCAAAGCGGTTTTCGCGTAAATGAGATCCAAAAATTTTATGGTCACGGTAATTAGATAAGGCTAATACTTAATCTAACGGTAATTAGAAAATATATGTAAAATAGCAAAAAAACAACATCTTACATTGATAAATTTGTATACAAATATATAGCGTCATAAAAAACGCTGTAGGTACACTTAATAACCCTTTGCAAAAAGAAAAACACTAATTTCTATTATTTATTGTATTTAGATACTTTCAGTATACTGCAAGAATCGAGGCTATTACAGGAACACTTAGTTTCAGCAAGAAGGGGCTACATGTCACATTTCAAATGAGAGCATTTAGCTGAATCAGAATCTTAATCATCACTTATTTGATTNAACAGTCGATAACAAACATTAACAAGTTTCACACCATCAACGCGCGGAAAAAAGTAATGTCATCTGTCAAAACGTTATGTCAAAAGGGAAATAAATATTGCCAATGATAATATTCTCCATAGACTATGTAACATTATCTTATAAATGGGAGTAGGTTTTAGCATTTTTTCTAGACAAAGCTATTATCTTAGGCCGCCTTGAGCCGCTAAGCCGCCGGACGACGCGGTGGCCCCGCAGAATGCCGCTATTAAGTTTTAAGCCACAGTTAGGATGTTAACGACTGTGACCGACCTGGGAAGCTGAGACCAACTGTTAAAGATAGG